CCTCAGGTTTTCCCAACCTCCTCAGATGGGACAGGGGAGCTAGAGTGGGCTCAAGTAGGCCCACGGCCCCAGTTCATTTGACTTTGAGCATAGCGCAGAAGCAGATTGGACTCTGGTAACTAGTTTTGTTATAAAGAACTAAGTATCCTGGTGTATTTCTATTTTTTAAAGATTTATTTATTTATGCATACAGAACTGGGGTACAGGCGGGTGAAAGGATTCACTAGAGGCAGAACGGGGAGCAGAACAGGCAGATTGACGAAGTAAATGCTGCTCCCCTGGGCAGCCGGAGAGGTCTACTGCGCCATGTGGGTCAGCTCCCTGGCCGGGGGTGGAAATTGCGCTCAAGCGGCTGCTGCAAGCCTCACAGTGGCGTGTTCTACTGGTGTATTTCAAAAATAATTCTTGTTCCACTCCCCTGCTGGAAGCTTGATGGGTTTTACTCTCATATTTAGGGTGGGAACCTGGTTGACCTAGAGGTAAATCTCACAAAGTAGGGGAGGGCCTCTGACTCTGAGGGTTACCCCTCGCTGAGCTCAGCAGTTCTTGGCTCAGCCTGCTTTCCTGCCCTGGAAAGCCTCTCTCTTCTCCCCTGTCTGCCTTTCCAGGTGGGGGGCGGGAGGGACAGGGGTTGCTGGTGTCGTCCCTCTGTGCTGTGGCTCCAGCAAGACTTGGTGACTCTTCAGTCTGTTCAGCTTTTTACTTTGCTCAGGTGATAACTTACATGCAGAACCGGAAAATGGAAGTCTCATTAGATTAATTTTAGATGCTGCATCAGGAATGTTTAGCTTTTTGCTTTACTGTTGGCAGTGTTGATCAATACACAGAATGTTGCCAAGTTCTCCTATTTTGCTCCTTAAAATAAGTTATTTTTCCCCCTCGTGTGCTTTACCTGACTGACGGGATGGGCTCTCTGTGTCATTCTAGTTCACGGTCATCTTTCTGAAAAATGAGGTGTACCTTTCATTGCTGCTCATCAGTGGAAGCAGTGCTGGGGGCCTTCTGGTTTTGATTGTGATTATCCTCCTCCTAATCAAGGTCAGTTCCACTTGTGTTCAGAGTGGGGAGCCCCTGGGCCGAGTTGCTGGGTGCAGTGCTGGGGGTCACCCCTGGCGGCAGCTCCCCTGCCTTGTGGCCACCTTCCCTCCCTTCAACCACACAGCACCTTTAGGTGGATGAGCAAGACAATTTCTGCCTGAAAAATACAAAAACCTAATTGAAGTATTGGGGTACACAGTGAGATTTTTTCCCAAAAGCAGGTCTGACTGCTGTTTCTCTACTTAAATCCTTTTCTTTTCTTGCCCTGTGTAGTGTTCAAGCCCTGAAACTCCTTTACCCCATTCAGCACCCCCATGCTCACCTTTCACCCTCTCTCCCTTTAATTCTTGCTTTTTCCTCCAAGCCATGTTGGACTGACCCCCGACTAGGCCTGTCTCTGGGCCTGCATGGAGGCTGTTCTCCTCTGCCAGCTAGATGCCCTCCTCTATTTTTTCACCTTGCCCTCTGGGCTTCCCTCTGGGCAGCCAAAGATTCCTGCGGCAGCTGAGTCATGTGCTTTGCTGTGAGCTCCCTCTGGAAACCCTTCCCAAAGGCAGTCTTCACACTGACTGAGTTGCTCTGTTTCTCTGCCTAGCAGATTGTGAGTTTCTTGCTGTAGGAGGTCCTCCTTGATCTCTTTCTGCCTTCAGCATAGTAAACTGAATACTTAAGATAAGTGACACCCAGTACAGCTGAAACTA